ATAACCAACAGATTCATCGTCACAACAAAAAGGTGAATCTCAGAAGAGTGAGGATGAAGGAGCAATATCTGTTGCATTTACTCATAAAGATTCATCAGAGACAAGAGTTGTGCCATCTTATGTTCCACCATGTAAAAGGAGGAGCGAGCCAATCGAACCTCTTTTCCCAGAAAGGATAAAGAAACAACATGAAGATAAGCAATTCGACAAATTTTTGGACTTACTGACAACTTCACATAAATGTATCATTGGTTGAAGCCGTGGAGCAGATGCCTTCATGCTCAAAATTTATGAAGGGCGTGCTGTCAAAGAAAAGAAAAATTAAGGAATTTGAAACTTTGGCTCTAATTGAAGAGTCGTGCAATACCTCACAAAAATTCCACCCAAATTGAAGGATCCAGGAGTGTTCATAATCCCATACACCATTGGGAAGAATTACCTTGGGAGAGCACTATGTGATCTAGGCTCGAGTGTAAATTTGATGCCAGCCTCAATCTTCAAGCAGCTTGATATCAGAGCAGCAAGACCCACTACTGTTTCTTTGCAGCTTGCAGATCATCCATAGCCAGACCAGAAGGCAAGATAGAAAATGTCCTCGTTCAAGTGGACAAATTCATCCTATCAGTTGACTTCATTATCCTGGATTTTGAAGCTTACCAAGAAGTTCCAATAATTCTTGGTAGACCATTCCTGCTACTAATGATGCAGTGATAAATGTCAGAAAAAGAGTCCATGAATGTTAATGGAGAGGAGGTAAAATTTAATGTCATGAAGGCAATGAAGTTTGATGTGGACAATACTGAAGAATGCTCTAGAATCTCAACTATTGATTGGATCATAGCTGAGGAGCAAGAGAAGGAACAATAAGAGCTTTTGTAAAAGGAAATTGGGATGGAGGATTTTGAAGAAATGGAAAAGTATCTAGCCTCTATGGATTGTGTACAACCAGAAAACATGAGGGAGAAGGTGTTCGAATCCCTGAATCGTTCAGAACAGGAGCAAAAGCCAAAGTTACCATCACTGGAGCAACCACCAATATTGGAGCTGAAACCCTTGCCATATCATTTGAAGTAACTTGGGAAAGGAAAACACCTGTAATTATCTCTTCTTTACTAACCAATGATCAAGAATTGCAGCTTACACAGAAGCTAAAGGAATATAAGGGAGCATTGGCTGGACTATGGCTGATATCAAGGGAATCAGCCCCACAATATACAAGCATAAGATTTTGCTCCAGGATCCTGATAGCTCATATGTGGAGCATCAGAGGAGGTTGAACCCTAATATGAAGAAGGTGGTAAAAAAAGAAATCATAAAATGGCTAGATGCAGGTATAATCTATCCTATCTCTGATAGTAGGTGGGTTGCACCTGTACAATCTGTCCTAAAGAAAGGTGGTATCACTGTAGTTGAAAATGACAAGCAAGAACTAGAGTGGCCACTAAGAAAATAACTAGTTGGAGGATATGTCAAGATTATAGGAAGCTAAATAGTACTACTCGTAAGGATCATTTCCCCCTCCCTTTTATTGATCAAATGTTGGATCACTTGGCTGGTAAGGAATTCTTTTATTTTTTAGACGGTTATTCAGGGTAGACAACCAGATTGCGGTTGCGCCTGAAGACCAACACAAAACCACTTTTATAACACCTCGTATTTCTAAATGTATAATTATATGTGGTAATGTTGATTAAAAGGGTAAGATTAGTGAAAATCTGGAAATTAGGGCCAAAATACGTAAATAGGGTAAAATGGTAATTTACCAAACACGTATCTCTAGGCAAGAAAAATTGAGTAGAAAGTATCAAATGGTAAAAATAAGGCCGGAAATGGATTCATAACGAAAAATCGAGTGGTTAGGCAAGTTTTAGAAAAATTGATGAATAATGATTTTACCGTGTAAAATACTGCGGTATAATTGTACCGATAAGCGTGAAAATATTATCAGTTTTTTTAGGAAGTAAAATTATGACGTGAACGAGAAAAATATGTAGGTTATAAATTTGTGAGTTAAATTAGGTGACTTAATAAAGTTAATTCGTATGTGGGACCCACCTAAGGGTTGTAAGTGAGTAAGTGACCCTTTTAATAAGTGAAATCTGAACACTCTCTCCTATTCCCTTCTCCTTCGTCGTGACTTTCACCATTTTAAGGGCAAGAGAGCTCTTTGAACTACAACTCCCTTTGCTAGCCATTTTTAGGAGAAACTTCCAACTACAAAGTTGTTCCCCTTGAGATTGTGAGTGACTTTCATGTAGAGTGTACCTTGTGGGGAGCTTTGTGCAGGGAGAAAATACCCTTATACAGCCACGAAAATATTAGGATTTTGGAGAATTTTTGGTGACTTTTGTGTTGAACCATTGGTTGGAGATCATTCACTTGGATCCTAAGAAGCTATTGGTGGTAAGTTTTCTAACTCTCATGGAGTTTTGATTGAGATCATAAAATTAGTAAGGGTTTTGATGATGTATGTTGAGTTGTGGTAGTTAGGAGCATTAAACTGTATGTCTCCTTTGGACTTAAATGCTTAGAATGATAAATGATAATGATTGATATAATAAAAATTATTGTGATTTGAAAAATTGTAACTTAGTGAAAATTGGAGATGATATTGATGACTTTGTGAAAAAACATGGTTGTAGGATGGTATGATTGAGTTGTGGGGCATTGGGATGAAGTAATTACATGATTGTATAATGTGGGTAAGGATGGAATTGAGTTTAAAACCTTGGGAGGTACTCCCTTGGGGAATTCGACCTATAATGGAAATTGGAGGAAAATGGGATGAAAAATATTGTAAAATCAATGGTTAGTGCTTTGGTGCATAAATGGTTAGATGATGAGTTAGTTCAAGGATTAAAATGATTGAGGTAATTGAGATAAATGGAAAAATAGCATTAGGCCTAAGTGATTATGTTTATGTATTAATGTTTGCAATTGGTTGATGATCTTGGTATGGATCTATATAGGTTGCCTCTCCCAGACGCAATAAAGGTGGAATAAACTTGGAGCGTACGTTGTGGAGCTTTGCTTTGGAGTTGAGGTAAACCATTGGAACTTGGGTTTATTCCCTTATGTAGTCCACCACACCTAGTGGAAGGTTGTGGGTTGATTTTGTGCCTTTGACATTGTGTGAAATTATATGTTCATGCATTGTTGCTTGAATTGTATGATATATCTGTGATCTCTGGCCAGTAGATATGTGTGGTTTGGACTTCCGCTGGAGATATCCTTTGGGGATTCCAGTCGGGTTTTGCCTTGGGGCCGACTCTGGGAGTATAACACCTCGCATTTCTAAGTTTAAATACTAATATATTAAATAAGAATTAAAGATAAGGATTAGTGAAAATCCTGAAAATTGTGCCAAAATACAAAGAAAAGGCAAAACGGTAAATTAGCCATGCATACAACCCTAGGAAGGAAATTAAGTAGGAGGTCTCAAATGATAAAAATAACCCTGGAAATGGATTCAGAACGAAAAATTGAGTGTTTAGGCAAGTTTCAGAAAATTTAGTGAATAGTTTTTTACCAGGTCAAAATACCGCTGTACAGCTGCACCGTAAAGCGTGCCGATTGAGTTTTGAGCTCTAGGTTTTAAATATGAGTTATAAATGGTCTATAGAACTAGGAAATATGATTTCTGATAAAATTTGATGGAAATAAGTTAGTTTGGGGAAGCGTGCCAACGACGCGTGCAACAGCTTAAAATAGCGTTTTCTCTGAACGACCGGAGAACTCAGGATTCATCTGATCAAGGATAATTAAAGGACAATGGTTAATATTGAAAATTAGAGTTTCTAAATAGGTTGTGAATTTACGGACGGTTAGAGAGAATTCAGATTAGTTTTAAATCGCGTGAGGTGGCGGTGGGACCCACCCCACTTGAAGCCATTTAAACACCTAAGCTAGTTACTATTCATGATCACTCTCACTTCTTTCTCTCTCCTTCAAACCCGCGCCAGCCCCTCCATGGAACCCTTGGAGCTTCAAAAATTTCTCCTTGCTAAATCCTTCAAATCCTAACCAAATCCTTTGATTTTTGTGTTGAAATTAATTGGAAATTGCCTTCTAAAGCCGTTTGTGGTACTCCTAAGCCTTGAAAACCCTTAATTTGTGAGATATTCTCCCACTAAGTCCGCATCCAAGTTGCTTAGATTTGTGTTCATAGAGCATCTAGGTGCTCCAATGGTGGAGTATGTTTAGGAGGAGCCTTGTGCCTACCATTTGAGTAAGTTTCTTCACCATTTTAATGGTTGAATCTTTGGATTGAGTTTATGAATTCTAAAGGGGAAATTGATGATTTGTGATGTTAGAGAACTCAATTGAAAAATGTGTATTCGATGATAATGTCTTAGAATGATGTGTTAAAGCTATAAATGCCATGAAAATTATTGATGAAAATTATGAATTTTTAACTTAGAAGATTTTAGATTGTCATGACTTTGAGTTTTGAAAATGTGTTAGGATTGGATTGGTGAGTTGTTGTATGATTGTTGTAACATCCTGCTAATTAGGAAAATATATAAATTGTAGTTGGGAATATAGAAGCTTGCTTAGAACTCGATATATATATATATATATATATATATATATATATATATATATATAGGGTAGACTTATTTTAATTCATGAAATTTATGTAATTATAATCTTGGGTGGGTAATTATTTTAGGAAATTGAAATATTAGTTAAGAGGATAGGATAAGTTTAATTTTGATATAAAATTTAATTGACACTTAGAAGATATAGGGAGTCATAAAAATACTTGAATCATGGATTATGAAGAAGGAAAATTAGACCTCAACCAACCTTTAGGGTTCGACCCAAAGGCCTTAAGAGAAGGCTTGAAGTGGCCCAAAATTTATAAACCATCCACTTTATTATCCTAAAGAAATCTGGAAAGATGCTCCTCATTGGCCCACTCTTTTTGCATGTATCCTCATTGGTTGGAAACCACTTTCTCATCCTAACCATTTCACTCTAAGAGCGCTAATGATAGAGGCATAGGCTGTTAATTCAGAATGATAATTAATCTTCGATTCTCTCTTCCCTCTTGGCACCTCACTGTAACAAAACTGAATCCGAAACGTAACCCACTCCCTCACACTCCTAAAGCATCAAGCACACCTAAACTGAACTTCACCCACTCCACACCTTCGGCCAAATCAACCATGGTACAGATTGCATGTCAGTTCAATGTGTTTAATCATTTCCACCAAGTCTGTGACGTTCCTAGGAGGGGGGAATTACCATCTAAATTCCATTGTTATTCCCTCCCTCTTCCAGTCGTGCGTTCATCAGCAAAGAGGTGGAGAGTTCATCGCTGTTACTGCCTTTCTTCCTTAGTAGGTTCTGACCGAGTTTCTCCTTAGACACCCTTAAACCTGATTCGATTTGGTGCTGCCTCTGTTGCATGCAAATTGGGACCAAAACCAACATCACTGTTCTGTTTCCTTTGTGCGCTGTTATCTCAGTCTAGGAGGTAGGATGTTTTTGTACCTCTTTGTCTCTCAAAGCTTCTTTCGATTTCTAATATAAGTGTTTCCTTTGCCTGCAACTAAGAGGGAAATCGTTGGAGAGTAGAATGGGTGAGGACCTTAGCACCAATCTTGGAGACTATCGTATTGATTGTTTTTTTTTTGAACCGATTGGGTACCTGCAAGAAGAGGTAAGCCAACCTCAAGCTTTTCGTTCATTGATTCTATTTTGGCATGCTTAAGCGTGTTAGGATAGTGTCTTCGTTAGTCGTTTCACTGCTTTGCTTCTGCCCTTTCGTACAGCTTTGGAATTGAGCCATGTAAATCAAAACGGGATTTATGTAAACTTGGAATCTGGCTCTCTGTTTATTTTGTGGACTGTTTATTTGATTAACCAAAGTTATTAAATTCTGCATGCATTAAATTTAAAATATCAGCATGCTAAAAGGCCCTATATCGCCCTCTGAATCTTGCGTAGAAGATTGTGAAAACTAGATTTTTGTTGCACCTTGTACAGGGTTGGAAACCGAGTGTGAGTTTGGGAAAGAACTTTTGTAAAAGTGTTGAGTTGTTTTGTTAAAATAAGTCATGTGCCCAGCTTTGCATTGAGGAAGTTAATGGGCAGCCTGTTTATAAGTTCTCTAGCACACTCATGGTTTAGTAGGAATGATTATGTGACAAAAATATAAATACATCATGAGCACTTTTAGCCTAAGAAACCAAATCTGAATATAATGGGGGTTTAGGAATATATTTCAGTATCAACCTTATGTGAATTAAATAAATTTAATAGCATGCTTTATGCCCCTTTAGCGCACCCTTAGGACTAAGAGAGTGGGCATGTAACTAAATATCACAAACATCCTTTGAATGTTAAAACCCGATTCTGCATATGTTGAAATTATTCACTGTTACTCTTTGGTAATTTAATGTGAAATCAGAAAAGAGTTTAGGGTAAAAGCTTGGTAAAAACCGAATTGGTATACAAGAAGAACCTAGGATTTGTACTGTTACAATTTAGAATAATTAGCATGAAGTCAAAAAATGATCCGTTATGAGAAACAGAAAACCGATTATGTACATGAGTTAAGGAGCATTGATATTATTTGTAAATTAAAGGAATCAGAGTTTGAAATTCTGTTTTGACCTTGCTTGCTTAGGTGCACGTGAACCTTATTGTGTGGGCTGAATTTTGGTGCTGATTGATTATTATTTGGACACGCAGGTAAGTGTTAGGTGGCATTACCTAGTGTGATTATTAGCTAGAGTATAGAACTGTGAATTGGTTCTCACATGTGCCTTGGACTGTATTCTGTTATATGTTATATGTGAGCTGCCTATGAATGTGACAAATGGAAACTCTGCTATGAGGAGTAATGGTTATGCAGCAGCTTGGTATGGAAATTACATGAAAGATATGCTATTATGATGATGATTTAGTCATGCATATGCACATCATATTCATCTGTTTCTTTTGTGAGTGCGAAGCATATCATGGCATATAACATTGTGCATCCAATTTATAAGGAGAAGTATATAATTAAAGTAAGCATATGATTGAGCACGCATCATATAGGCATCCCTCCGGTACCAGGGTATGGGACACTTGGCTTCTGTCTGCTTAGGTCACAGTTGGAATTCACCTTTGAGGGAGCCATTATGGAATATCCACTGTGTATGTTAGTATGCGCACGACGGTGCTATGAGCGTAATGATGGCGTTATATACGCACTATGATATGTTAATATTTCTCCGAAAAATGAAATGTTGATGTGACTGTTTTATAATTTTGTACCTAGTCTAATATTATTGCAATAATGGTTTTGCTATAACACTACTGAGATTTTTCTCACCCCTTCGGGGGCTCAATTTTCATAAATTGCAGGAGTACGAAAAAGAGTTTGATGAAGTGTTTGAGTTGGATATGTACTGTTTAATTGCTGCTGCTGTTTTGGGAATTTTGATGATGACATGTTGTGCATGTTGATTGTTGGCTGATCACTATAGTAGGATGTAATATTTTTAGATGCTGGAAGAAAATCTTAGAACATGCCATAAATTGTTGTATGTGGATCTTTATGATTAGTTGTAAGTTGTAAGATTCTGCTCATACTTTACACATCTATTTTATGTACGTTTTGAATGCTGATTTGTAAACTGTTTTTACGAGCACTTTGCGAGTTTCGTTTCTGGGGCTACAGACCTCTGATTTACTTATAATTTATATGCACGCGTAGCCCCAGGTGTCTAGTTTTATATTATAAAAACTTTACAATGAAATTATGAAAGATCGATTTATTATTATTTTTACAAGTCAGGTCGTTTTGGAACAATTTCATTGAATTATCTCTCACCTTGCGAGTTCTGTTTCGAGGGGCTAAACACCTCCGAATGAAATGATTTTTATATGCACGTAAAGCTCCAAATATCTAGTTTTCTTGTATCAAAGAATATTTTTTTAAGCTGTTGAACTTGATTTTACACGATTTTCCCAAGGCAGCAAGGTTTTTCAGGAAAACTTCTATTTCAACAATTCATGTATTTTGTAAAGCTGCACTCTGATTTCAGTAAACCAATAGATTTTAAATATAAGAGTGAATTAGTAACTTGAAAACGCAGTTCTTTATTTTTTTTTTTTAAATTCGTTACGACTCTAATCCGCTTAGCAGACAACTCCCTTGGACGCGTACAGGGGAGGGTGTCACACTAAATGGTATCAGAGCAGTTGTGATTCAAGGTGTGTATATTGCTGAAATGTTTGCTTTCTGTACTTGGTTGTTGGATTGTGTCGTTTGAATATGTTGGCTGTTGGTATGTTTTCGCTGAATTATTGCTGTTTGGATATGACTACGAATCGGTTGCCTTGCTGTATGTTAGAATTACATTGTTCAACTGCTGATGTTGGAATATGATTATAGAAATGTTTGCTAGCTGCTTTGCGTTATGCTCTGTGTGTAATGGTGCTTGTGGCATCCGGTGTTAAACATAGTTATGCACACTTTAGTGCTAGGTGGTGAGCCTGATCAACTCACTGCCGCACATAAAGTGTGTGCACATTCATGGTGACCACGGGTACACTTGTGCTTGAGATGTTAGGTGTGAAATATTAAATTACTACTTGAATAATGGACTAATTACTTACTGTGTTCTTTAAGGATTGTATGTGTACATAGACTTGATGTGAATGTTTTTATGATGTCCTAAGCAGTGAATTATAAATAAGATTTTATATATCTATATGTATAGACTTGATGTGTAATTTCGTGATACTATACGCCGTAAATGATAATATGTGATTTTATAAATAATAACTGCTGTTACATATTTGTTTTTGTGGTTCATGACGTTTTCTTGTAGGTTGTGATTGTGTTACATGACTGGATGATAGAAACAGTTGTTCTTTTCATTAATCCAGTTAGGATTCCATAACTGGATAAGTATAGTAGTAATATAATACTGATAATGGATGTAGTTAATCAGCATTAAGAAGAACGATGCGTAATGATACATCAATCATTTAAAGAAAATGAAGTTAATACTCTGTAAAGTATAATGGGAGTTAAGTAATACTCAAATGTGTGGGCCCTAAGCCTTACAAATCCTCTAATGGTAAATTGATACTAGACATCATTCTTGAGAAAGAAACTGTTAAACAAAGTGGGGATGCATAGGGGATTGTACTTGACTTTTGCTTTCTTGTTTCTCTTTTAATTGACACATGTCTTTCCATCCATTTTACTGTTAAGCAAGTTCAGGAATTACTAGAGATATCATGTAATTTTGATTAAGAAATTCTGCATTTATAGATTGATATCGAACCTCACCCCTTACCTGGTTCGTGGATTTGACCACCGTTTTATCCCCTTATTACTGTTAAACTTGAATCATTTCTCAGGTAACTCGAAACCCGGTGTGGCAATCTTAATTAGTTACCCTTGGTTTTAATTCACGATGATGTGCCTATACACCTAATATATTCTGGTACAACTCCAATGAAGGTCATAAATAGTGGTAATTAACAAACTTTGGTAAGAACAAGTAAATTCTGGCTGTTTCAGTGGTTAGGAGCATGTACGTTATTAGTGCCGGGTTAAACAGAACTTACAGTAAAATTTTTGTAATGCCTTTAAATGTGTTGGACTGCTTGGTTATGTGATTGAATAAATTTTTGTCTTACACTAGACTTTTACTTTTGGTGGTTTTCATTTCTTCTTCTATTTCTTTAAGAGCTTTTGCTCTTTGTGATTGCCTGGTTGTCTTATTTTTAAGAAAGCGTAGCAAACTTTGGTTAGCTAATGGATTCCCTGATCAATGGAATCAATTACATCCGAGGTACCTAGGACAGCGGAAAGCTCGAGGGAGTTTTCCTCATAAGGGTGTTTTGACGAACTGTATCAGGGGTACCATTAACATGATGTGCATGCAAAGCATGATGGGATGATTAATCGGATACATGATTGGTTAATTAGTGGTGTGTTGGTGTATTCGCAGTGCTGTGTCATGTATGTTACAGATTGTTTTATGTGCTCATTCGGATGTTTATAAATGCCTATATTTTTGTGATTAGATGAATAATTTTTACTTCCTTAAATCCCTTAGGAATTCCCCTAAGTACTCCTGGAAGAAAGTATTCATGCTTTTGGCTTACTATTTGAACTGACATCAGTATAAATATAGTCCATTACAATTAGTTCTAGTCAGGATGGAAATAACAATATAGGAATCGCTCAAAGTGACTACATATGTTTGCACCTGTACCCACACGAGAACGCACCACGTTATTTTGCAAGAATTCACATACAATTATAGGTTAAGGAAAACAAATGAAACACATATAGAAATGCATCATTATTTAGAGTGAGGCGGATATTGATTTATTGCATCTTAAAGAAAGATAAACATGCTTAGAATTTTCATCCAATTGCAAAAGAGTTAACCATTGATATTTTAAGAAGGCCTTAAAAATAGGAAACTGTAATATCAGCTCTGTGCATTATTTCATACGGTGTTGAGTTTGTATAAGGGCAATGATACTTGTTTTTATCCACTTACTCTTTTCCTTTACTTACAAATTCCGAAAATGGTAAGTGTAAATCTATTGGTTGGGTTTCCTAACTGCTATATTTTTGTTTTGTTTTGTGAAAACACTTGCATCAGAAACTCAACCATGTCTCTATAATGCTATATGAATTTTTTGTTGTGACAATAATGGACAGTAGGATGAAACTAGGATGGGAGCAGACTTACTGTTTTCCTTTTTGAATTATTTAATTTTTCTTGCCTTCTTTTCTTGTCTCACGGCAACTCTACTAAGGGTGTACTTAGGACAAAGAGAGTTATTAACAAGCCCATGATGAATAAAATGCATTGGTTACTGTTAAGGAATTTTCAAAAAAAAATAAAATTACATATATCTTCATTCACTTATTAGTCATGGGGTGTAAGCGGTCAATATGTTTGTGTATAGGTCCGATTTTCTTCTTGTTTGTTTATTTATAGTTGGATACAGTTAACAACTACTCTTCTTGCGTTGTCAATTAAATTTTTGGAACCTTCATGTTGATTTGTACCCATTTACGGTTACCTCCTTCTATTTCTTGTCAAGCTGAGCAATCTTTCCAAAAAGATATGTTAAAGGACTAGCTTTTGTTACACTAGGTGCTAAATCATACTTCGGCATGTTTAAAAGATTAATTTCAAATCTTGGACTGTCCTCTGTTATACCTTATCCTAATTCACTTCTATATGCTTGAACTTGAGCTCAAACTTAGGACTGATTTCTATTACATCTCACTATCAAAAAAAATAAAAATCTCCCTTTGTATACTTGTAATTAAATCTGAGTCTTGGAATTTTGCGCTATACTAAGCTGTCAAAGTTTTTTTTTTCTTTCGTGATTGAAATTAAATTCCAATTTATGGCCCGTTTCTGTACTTGTGTGTAATTTGATTTTAGCATTTTCAAGTGCTTCAAGGTCTCATGGTATTGGATTGGTTTTTGAGGCTATAAGTTTACTGCTATGTGGATCTATTACTGGTTATGAAACTCGATAAGGAGGAATTAAATGAATTCTATTTTACAAAATTCTGCACAAGAAAGTTACAAAGGATAAATGTGCAGTGAAGTATGATAAGAAATGGGTACTTCATTGAGTGAAAAATTTGGGGTCTGTAGGACTCACTGGTTTAATTTCAGGCATGAATTGCTAACTTGAATGTGCTTCCTTGTCTAGTCAGGAGTTGCTGCGTAAACCACTTATTGTATGTCAAATTTTATAGTTTGTATTTTATGTTCGCTTTGGTGACAGTGTCAGTCTTGCAAAACCATTATATACTTAACATCTTAATTGTTGGGAGTAAAGGAGTTCTATGCATGAGTGTGTTGTTACCGGGGTAAGTAGTACAAGAAGATGATGGATAAACGGTGTATATCAGGAAGGTGAGGAAGTTTGGGGACAAACTTCGAAACAAGGTGGGGATAGTGTAACATCCCGCTAATTTAGGAAAATATATAAATTGTAGTTGGGAATATAGAAGCTTGCTTAGAACTCGATATTGAAATAAACTGACCTTGAAGGTCGAGGCATGTGAGAGGGAAAAACAAAATTTTTCGAGCGGAATAACACATACCATAACAAGAAACATGTTTTAGGGCATGGATGTTACCTTGTTTGCTTTCCAAAACTTGAGGATGATCAAGATGAGGCTTGAAGATGCAAGCCCTCTAATGTTGATCCACACCACCCTTGCTCCATAGCCAACGCGGAGGTCCACCTCGTTTCTCTCCAATCTCCTTGGGCTCCTAAGCACCTGCAACTTATTGCAGATATGAGAACCACAGCCGGTATCCAATACCCATGAGGTCAGATTAGCACAAGAATAATTTATCTCAATCATGAAAATACCTGAGGCAGAAGCATCACCATGCTTCTTGTCCTTCACACTCTTCTGGTAGTCTGGACAGTTCCTCTTCCAATGGCCTTTCTTGCCACAATGGAAGCACTCAGCATCACTTCTGTCCTTAGATGCATTCTTACCCTTCCTTTTGCCTTTCTTCTTCTTGGGTTTGCATTTGGGTTTGAGGGAGTCGCCTTTCGCAGGCTCCTTGCCTTTACCCTTGGCCTTGCTAGGCCCACCAATCAGAACAGCATGTGTCCTATCCTTCTTGATATACACTTCAGCAGTTGTTAACATGCTTAACAATTCAGGCAAGCTCACAAGCATC